CAGAATCACAGAACCCAAGAATGGACTAACAGTTACCAAAGAGAAAGGGACTGGGGAGGATGGGTGGGAACGGAGGGATAAGAGGGTAGAAAAGAAAGGAGGCATTATGATTACATGTATAATGTGGGGGACGGGGCACGGGGAGGGCTGTGCAACACAGAAAAGATAGGTAGTGATTCTATAGCATCTTACCATGCTGATGGACAGTGACTGTAATGGGGTTTGTGGGGGGGACTTGGTGAAGGGGGGAGACTAGTAAACATAATGTTCTTCATCTAATTGTAGATTAATGATACCAAAAAATGAAAAGAAAAAAGAAAAAAAAACACAAAAATGTGAGCTTTAAATCCCAAACAGTAACTATTTTTATATAGGGAAATGCAATTCATTTGGGCCTACCTCTTTGCAGATGGGGCACTAAGAAAAGATGATACCAGAAAAAAAGAGGATTCATTATCATTACCAGTAGAATCCTGATATATTTCTTTCTTAGTTCTCTGGATATCTACCTTAAACACCTATTCTTGAATGATCTTCATTTCTCTGTGTTGTCAGGAAAGTTGCCTTCTTACCACTAACCATACACTGCTACCCTAAAGGACAACCACCAGGTATCTGGTAGGTGGTAATGGGGGTGCCAAACTAAAGTCAGCAGGAACGTCATCACTCAGTCCCCCTGACCTTTCTGCAGCTTTACACTCATGGTTGTGAAGAGAAAAATAAGGAAAAACAATCAAAATGGAAATAATGGAGACCTGAGATTTACTGTACACCTACTACACCTCAAGCACAAGCACTGCTGAGTATTATCTCATTTAGCAGACTGACTTTGAATTGTGGGTATGGCCAATGACTTGTAGAACGGACTTTGAGCAAGTAAGTCTTGTAGCTGCAAGAACACACTGAATGACTTAAAACTTGTGCTCAAAATGTTTCCCTTGTCATTCTTCCTCTCTAGCAACTACTTACTGTCCAAATCCATAGCCCTCTTGTCCTCTTTTATTTAAAATAAAAGGACACTTGCCATTACGGAAATCATCAAAAATACAGAAAAGTAGAGAAAGGAGTGTAACAACTCCCATGTGCCCCTGGTTCAGCTTCACTTATGTGCCATTCCTGTGTCACCTCTCCCTCTTCCTACTTTTCCCCTGAAATATTTAAAAACAAATCCAAGACATCCTGTTTAAACTTCAGCAGAACACCCCTACAAATCAGATCTTAAAAAATATTACCACACCAAAAAAAAAATCATTTTTTACTCCACCAAATGCCCAATTCCTCTTAAAATTGCTCTGGTTATCTTTAAAAAATGTCTTCTTGCAGTTGGTTAGCTTGAGTAGGTCCAAGCATGGTCCACACATTTACTTTTGGAAGATGCATCTCTTAATATAGGACAGTTCCCTCAATCTCCTTTCGTTTCTTTTTTTAAAATGTCATTTACATAGTCTTCAGTTGAAATGTGTTTCTCTAGCTCTACTTTCTGTGAGCTGCTAAGGGCTTGATCAGATTGTGGTTCACCTTTCTCCTTGTTTCAAGACTGCTCAGATTGTACAATTTACTCCCTACTGCATCGCCTCCAGAGGCAGCTAACATCCAGTTGTCTTCTGTCAGTGGTATAGCAATAATGTTTTCCAGCTGCTCAGGAGATTTGAGTCCCTAAAAACTGACCTGAGATCATATAGTCATGGCAATATGCATGTGGGGACCAAGCTACCGAAGACTTGACTGAAGGTCAACAAGGGTTATCAATCAGCGGCCAGAGAAGCAGGCCAGGGATTGTTCCTCCCATAGATGAGAGGCCAAAAAGTAAAGATGAAGGATTTGACTAGAGCTGGAGAGGTGGCCAGAAGCTGAACATGATGCTTAAAGAACAAGACACTGTGTTTCAGTCATAGTTCTATAAGATATTTTATACATTTGTGCCAATAAATGTTCCAAATTAACTTACAGATATTTCAAGCGTTATTTATTTTATATTATTCCACCAAAATAGCCTTACAAATTTTTCCACCTTTCTTGCTTGAGAGAAAGGTTCTTATCTCTAACCCAAAGGTTCTCAACTTGACTACAGAGCAGATTCTCCATGGAAGCTTTCAAAATACTGAGATGTGGGTCACACCCCAATCGATTCTGATTCAATTGGTCTATGATGGGGATCAAGTATATACTATTACTTAAAAGTCTTTCCAGGTGACTTTAATATGCAGCCATAATTGAGAACCACTGCTCTGAGCTAGGAACAATAACAATAGCAACTAACATTTACAGCAGTTACTATTATGTGTTGGGGGAAGTTCACAGCAATTTATATGTACAGTTCATTCCCTACAAATGAGGAAACGAGGGTCAGGTAATTTGGCCCAAGATCAAACAGTAAGGTAACAGCAGAGTTAGGATTTAATACCAGGAAGTTTGGACCCAAAACCCAGTCAATAACCAAGATACACTCACTGCCTCCTAGGCAGGAAGTATATTCTTCAACTGTAAATAAAATGATCAAAGAAAAACAAACAACCAAAAAATAATAAACTTCCTTCTCCTTAGAAGTAGTATAGTAGCACCATCTTGCAAAGGTACCAACCCAGGTTTACTAGAAAAGTTAAAAAACAGGAATCTTCTCTTTCCAAAAGAGGATTCAACTTTGAGATTTCCACACATGCTTTCAATAATTCCCAAATACCATCCTATACAGAATAATCAATGTTAAGTATCAAAAACTGCTTTAGTTTAAATACTGGGGCAATGGTGTATTATTACATGTACATTTACAAGAAAACTTCCTACCTATTTCAGTTCTGCTAACTCCAATCCCATTATAAATTCTCAAGTAATTAAAGTGACAAGAATCAAAATCTTCAATGTCAAAGTCACCAAATTTGATGTGCACTCTCTCTCCCATCTTCACACGAATTTCCCATTCACAAACGGTGCTGTTGGGGTATGTCTGTGGGTAGTTTATGGATGTAAGGGTTCCACTCTCAGGGCCTAGTACAGTATGTCCACATCCATCACCTATAAAAAAAATTAAAAGAATGATAAATTCCTCTTACATCTTTAGCTTATACCATAAATAATCAGAATTTTTTTAAGGTTTTAAAAAATATGTATGACATAAAATATTTTATATCACCAGCATTTCCTTAAATAAGATAAAACAGATGACATAGTTCTTAGTGTATCTATACACAGGAGCCAAGAGAAGCCAGGTTAGGTCAAAATAATCAATGATTAGTTATCTTTATAATTTATGAGTTCAAAGAACTTTTCAATCTGAATAAACAGAGGTAAGCATTACTTAGCAGGAAATATATGTACACATAATAAACCCAATATGAGTATCAATTCGGAGTAATCAAAGTAGACAAAACTATAAAAATAAGTTTGTGATCAGCTTTACCTATTGACAAATGTCATAAATCCCTTCTAAAATCTGAGAAGTTGAATATAAACACTTGTATACACTAAGATAATGCAGATTACTGACCACATTGCACATTGCAAAGCATTCCTCCTTGAATGCATTAAAGCAATATTTAATGAAGTCTTATTTTACATTCTACTGAAAATGGGCTTTTTAATAGTTCCTCTCCAAAAGCCTCATTTTTCTCTAAAGATGAGAAACCAGTACAAATTAAATAGCTTATTAAAAATTAGGAAAAATGACCTTGATACCTTGGAAGCAGTATTTGCTCCAGAAATTTCTTTAGCAACATGATATGGAAACTCAGATGACTTAACATAATATTTGTAAAAATGAAATACTTTTATCCGTCCCTTTTTCATAAAACACTATTTTACTGAGCACCTAGAAGGAGGCATGTGATGCTAAGAAATTTCAGCTGCTGCTCCAATTATACTGTCTAGCATTCCTTAATGCTAGGATTTACATGAATCTCATGGATACATCTTTTTTAAATAACAGTATTTTCACCTTAAAAGAATTATTTATAATCACCTTTTGGGAATAGTTCAGTATGTACACAAAAAAACTACATTAAAAGCGACACCGCTTAGTTTTTACCTCAATATGGATACAGATGGGTATAACAGAATTTTCTATTATCTTTATTTATTATTTTTGAGGACAATGTAGTGCTGATAACATTTACTAGAATAGATGAAAGCTTTAAAAACCTATGAATAACAACATAGTATCTAGCAAGTAGTAGCTGCAAAATAATTGAATATAAAGAAACTGCTCATTAACCTATGAAAAAGTAATTTCAAACTACTCAAAACTAACTTTAATGAAGGAATAACTCTGTACTTAAGATTCTGATGGTGATACTTCATGTCCTTTGCAGATAAAGAAATTTTATTCTCAAATCCACACTAGGATTGTGAATCTACTTTTAAAAGTCAAAACTAGAAATCTAGCTTCCTAAAGAAGTATCTCTCATATAAAGCTTAGCTTTTAACCAATTATCAGGCTTTAGCTATCTTTGACACCTGGTATCCTTCCACACTCGAGAACTAGGCATAGCAGCTCAATAATATACAAGAGCCATCATGAAATAAACATGTGAGTTTTCGTGTGATACACTCACTGATCTTTTGCAGATATAAAAATAGAATGTTATACAACTCAGAAGAAAAAAATATAATCACAAATTTCCCATGAAAACACCTTAATATCTCTACTGATATTATCTAAGTTAAAGACATAGGGAAATAAAAACCTCCACAGAGAAAATAAATGAGTTGTAATATAAATAACTTGAACAATAATTAACATTTTTCCTTAGAGGAAAAACAACGGTCCCAACACAGAGTTTCTAACATGACAGTAGCCTGCAATGTTCTCTTACTATAAAAGATGAAAGAAATGTGGTTTCTAGAAAAGTTTCAGTCTTTAAAAAGTAGCCACTGAATAAATGAAATAACTCAAAATATAAATGTATTTTCTTTAGTAACTAGAAAACAGGCTTTTTTAAGTGATTGGAAGTGTTGATGGACTAAAAAGTCAAGAATTTCTTATTAACAGCTGAATTCATAAGTTAGTAATGTCAGGATGCTGTAGCTACTGTATTCCCCACAGGCTATTATTTAACTTAAGGTTGTCTTTTTAAAATCAATTTTACAAAGAATACAAAGTGTTAGTAGTAACTTTTAGGTGGTCTTTATATTCATACTTATGTTTGATTCTCAAATACATTAAATATTTCTTGCTGTTTTCTTCATAAAGTATAATTTCTACATTGTACTTTTGTGTGCATGCATGTTGATAAAGAAAACAATTAAAATGGAGCTATCTTTTTTCAGTATCTTGTGTAGGGGGAGGGCATGAACAGTCCACGAGTAATGTGCCAAGAATGTTCTAAAATATGTGATGGAGTTCAGAGCTTCTTCCTCTCACAAACAAGATGATACACACCAGAAACCAATGTTAAAAGAAAGCCTCAAATCTACTGCAAAGAACAAGTTTGAATGTTTCCTATTACCAAGACTATTTTATATGTTTACCTGACTTGATAAAAGACCTTAGCTGGCCTGGCCGAACACCTACCACCATGAAGTATATGTTTACAATATTCTAGTTCGACAGGGAAGGAAGGGCCTATAAACATTCATTAGGCCAGCAGCTTGCAAATACTTTCCAGTTTTTCCAAAGTAAGAAATACATTTTACATTGTGACCCTATACACTCTTGCATGTATATTCCTGACCCACTAAAGGATCTCCACCTGTACTTTGAAAAACACTGCACCAAGCATCCAAAGGTCCATGGTGAATTCTCAAATTAGGGACCCTGTCCCTTCACTTTTACCTCCAAGTTAGAAAATGTGCTTCCAGTTCATTTTTACATCTTAAAAGTAAAGCCTATCTTACATCAAAATACTTAAAAACATGACAAAATACTCCAAATTAAAACTAAAATCTGAAAATATACTTTATTAACAGACACCTAGCCCACTCAGAGGAGCAATTCTCAAACAGAAGTGTGGGGGAGGATGTTGCCACAGGAGTGATTTTACCTCCCATTTGGCAATGTTAGGAGACATTTTTGGTTGTCACAACTGAAAGGGGTGGGGTGCTATTGACATCTAGGGAGTAGAGGCCAGGAATACTGCTAAAACATCTTACTGCACAAGACAGCCCCACAGAATAAATGAACATCCTAAATGTCAACAGTGCTGGAGTGGGGAGTGGACAGGCGTGGACTTAGAGGAAAGGCAGATATCTCTGACAGAAGGTTTGGATTAGTTCTTGGCTGGATTTCCTTTGGCGCAAAGGGTAATTGTCTATTCGCTAAGAGCAAAGCCCAGGGGATAGTTGTCACTGCTGTCAACCCCCATCTCATCCCCACAGTCCCAGCAGTTAAACTAAAAAGTTTTTTATTCTCACTCCTCAATTTTTAAAACACGTAAATAGAATGCTTTATTTTTCTTTAAGTCAAAGGGGAAAAAGGCCCTTTGTATTAGTCTATAGCCCTCAATTTTTTTTCTGCGTCAGAAGCTCTCAACATTAGGGTTTGAAAAAGAGGATTAATAAAGTCAGCAGTAAGAGCCTCCAACTTTTCAGCTCGACTCTGTGCACGCTGGAAAGAAAAATGATCTGTGGACAGGCTACACCACCTACTAGTACTCATTTTCACAAGACAGAACTGATAGGGAAAGTGTAACTACAAGAAAAACAACTTTCAAAATGGATATCATAGGACCAATCCACACCCTCTCACCAGCAACTCCAGCATCACCCACTCTTTCTCCTCCTCCTCCTCCCCTGGATGGTCTCTGACAGACTATGACTGAACATAAAGGATAGAAGCCTGTTGGTGTAATTTGTGAATTTCACTATTATTTCAGGGTAGAAAAAACTCTGGAATTTGGTCTTACTGATCCTTTGTGTGGCTGCAGATTTATCTAGGGGATTACTCACAGAACATGTGTTCACTTCCTCTGAAGAGTGTAAGGTCAGATATGTTAAGTCTGATAGCACTGTTCCAGGAAAATAACTGAATAGTGTTTTTTGCTACTTATCCCTAGAGAAAACAATAAAAATAAACATTTAAACAACAATAAATGAACACAACAAAAGACTCATGCTTATTTTAGGCTGCTCTAAACTGCAAATCAAGTGTGTTTTTTGGATAAATACATGCTTGTGATGCTGATTACATGTGACCCTCCAACCACCCCATGTTTAAGGTCACATAAATCACCTTAATTATTGGAACTTTATATGAACACTGTGTGACTCCTAAAAATACTTCGACAACAGCAAACACAAATGTAAGAAGCTTGCACAAATATGCTAAAAATGTAGAGCAATGTAACTTTCATTACTATCATTATAAACTATGAAGTTAATACTTTCCCAGTGAGCTTTCAAGGATTTTTTTTTAATCACAGTGAACTGATGAGTGTGACCATACTTCCTCTAAGTGTCACTTCTATCACATCTTATAATACATCTGTGAGATCTTATAATAAACTGAAATAAAGGCATTTACAGAGAAGTGTTCAAAAGAATATCTTGCAATTGTTAACTGTTATATCCTATTTCACTAGACTACAAAGATTTCATGTTATTTAGCACTAAATTTTCAGCCCAGAAATATTCTATCAGCCCTGTTACTGTAAGATTTTTAAATCTGCTTCACCATAAATCGCAAATAATTAAAGTACTATTTTTATTTCACCCCATTTTTTTTTAATACTGCACAAAATAGATATGCATTGAGAGCCTAACGAGGGTCACTGTGGCAATTTTTAAGGGAAAAAAAAAGCTCCCAGCTTCATTCCTTTTAAGGCCCAAACTCTTCTCTTCATGTGTGATAATTTATAAAATTGAATTACCTGAAGAAATGCAAGATGTATAATCCTCTTCGATCCCCACCAACCACACACTATACTTAGAAAATAATGGTTAAGCAAATAGGCTCTGGAGTCATGCAATTAATTTAAATGCCCTTTCTTACTGGTTCCCTCATTTATGAATGAGTTGAACAAAAAGGATTTTTTAAAAATTTAACTCATTTATTTATTCATCTTATTAAGGTATCATTGATA